AAAAAAAAAAAAAAAAAAAAAAAAAAAAAAACACATCATAGTAAAATTAATACCTTCTCCGCTTCGCATCGAAGCTAAAAATATCTTATTAATATTCAATAGAAAATATTCTGTAGCGTTTTGAAGTTTGTGAAATTTTGAATTTTCATGTACTATTTTACGGTATTAAACATTGAAATACGTATTGAGAAAAGGACAGAAGAAAACGCTATCTTTTCAATATACTTTTGAATGAGAGTGATAAGTAATAATTGCCTTATCTAATTTCTTATCATGGTATTTATGCCAAGTTTGTAATGTATACACACTATCATCATATGTATACACAGTAATCATGAAAAGATAGCGTTTTCTTCTGTTCTTTTCTCAATACGTATTTCAATGTTTATAACCGTAAAATAGTACATGAAAATTCAAATTTTTACAAACTTCAAAACGCTACAGAATATTTACTACTGAATATTAATAAGATATTTTTTACTAAAATTTTTCTTAAATTTTACTCTACAAAATAGCTATCTTAGATTTTTTTTTTACATTTTATTTAAAATTTAAAAATAATTAATATTTTTAATAAAATGTAAAAAAATTAATTATTGAGATATAGCTATAGACCTAACGTATAACTATTATTTAAAAAAAAAATCAACTAAAAATATTAACTGGATCAAAAGTTATTTAAGTTGTCAGTGAGTGGTGGGCCACCCTGTATACTATTTATAAATAGTATTTATCTCTGTCATTCGATATACTTTTTTTTTAAATAGAACCATTTCCTTTTATATATTTATATATTATATAAATAATACACTTATAAGTCATAAAACTTGTAATCAGGATATAAATAAGGAAATAGGAGGTAATGTAGCTTTTGGAATAATCCATCAATTTTTTAAAATTAAACACTATCTACAGATTTGCATCGAAGTGTTTTTTATGATAGTGATTTTAATAACTGTCAGATATCATTATACTTGACTATGCCACAACCCCCCTGTGATGGGTTGTTTTACATTATATAAACTATGTGATTTGGTCATAGCTTTTTTAAACGTTTTTTAGATATTAAAATATAGCAATTTTTGGAGAATTTATCTAAAATACCATATCACAGCAGCAGCAATAATAATAATATCACAAAAATAAAAATGGCCTTCTAAGAATGTGTATTTTTTTAATTTATTTCATCCTATTAAATAAATGAGGGTGATCCTAACCTTTAAACATAGTCATATTAAAAAATAATAATTATATTAAATATTTACCTACCTCCATGTTTTTAACATTAGAGCTCCATAAGTGAGCGAAAATCCGATTTCTCGTAACCAAACTCGAGAAATACAAGTAACTACATTGGGATTTGGATACATAACTATCATCTGGAAAACAATGATGCAATCTTTATAAATTTCACGAAACAAAATTAATTGTATTTTTTATGTTTTTCATAAAAATTAATTATTAATAAGAATTTTTACTGAGATATTGCCAGGTAAATATTTTTTTACCTTTATAGAGATTTTAAATTAGCAAACTGCTGCTTTTTTTAATTGTTTTCGTATCATGTACTTATTTTAAATAGAGTTTTACGAAAGAAGAAATAAATCTAATTGGTTGTTTTGGAAATGTTTCAATTATAAATCTTTATAAAAATCTATAATGGTATATTTAACTCACCGTTGCGTAAATGAAAAACGCTCCCAAAGTAATTACTCTAAGCAAAGCAGGACTGGCCGCTCGAACAACCTATAACACATTAAATTACCCTTAACTATATTATCGTTTAAAACGTTTCACACAAGGAGTATATTTACACTGGAAGAATTCACAGGAAAAACGTAACACAATTGCTCCTCTTAATTGTGATTTATAAACGGCAATTCAATACCACCTAATGCATTTTGGTATAAAAAAACCGTTTCCTAATTTTTCATTTAGAAAAGGGAAAAGTAATTTAACGACATTATTTGTCAACTATTTTAAAAATGTACTTCATTTTTTACTACAAAACTTCTTTTAAGAAATATTTTTTTTGTAATTACCTCAAAGTTAGCAGAAAATTATCATCAATTTTTCTGGAAGTTAATTGAAATTTTGATTTGGAAACTTAGTCTAAATATGAAAAGTAAAAATCTGCAACTGTATAACTAATATATTTTTTGTAAGTATACATTTCAGTTAGTTGAAAAATTACTTACATAAAGTATGCAGTCGTTATACTTAATATTTAAACATACTTTTATTTATTATTAGAGTTTCAAAATTGAAGTCATTAATTTCAAACAATATACTCTTTAGTATGCATAATATTAATATTTGCACTTAAAAAGTATAACGAAGAATTAATATACTTCAGGAAAGAAAAAATTAAATCATTCATCATGAATTTCTAACGAACGCATACACAAGTAAAAGTAATTGCCATAGAAATTTAATTTTTTTCTAGTTTCTGTAGCAGTTGTATGATGCAAGAAGTTGGATAAACAACAAATTTTATTTAAAGTATTTTATAGTAGAAATATGAATATTCATATTTAAAGATATTGATGATATAAATGATCATCATTACCTTTAGGTGTGCATATTTCCATGTAAAAAACACAACTAGCGGAAGACAACAAATTACTATCATTGAAAGCACTAGTATAATTGTTCTTAAAACCCAGTTCAATGATGCTATGCATGGACTGTCATCTATACAATCATCACATCCTTCAGCACACCGCATACATTCGAACATATTTTTTCGGCTGTAATTGTTTGGTTGCCCCTGTAAAAATAATTAAATTAATTACTTTTTAAAAAATTACTTAATGAAATGTTATTAAATTAATTTTGGGAATAATACTATACGAATAAAAAAAACATACTGAAAAAATGTTAAATACTCAAGTTTAGATTTACAGAAATATGATATATTATATTATCTTGAAAGTGATCTCCAATAAATTTAAATCGATATTATTAAACTTTTTTAATTAAAACTACCAAGTTCTATTTATTATGTACACCTAAATTTATAGTCTAAGACCGTAGATTTATATGGACATTGTTGAAACCTTCAGGGATTTGTTAAGATCTTTTTCATTTTGAGTTAACAGGGTTTTGGGTTTTCATGATATGTTAGTCCCATTTAATGCAAAATTCCTATTCATAGTTGTTAACCATTTTATCTAAAAAAGTCATTTGATAAATCTTAATCTAGTTTAATCTAATCTCAATTTAATTTATCTAGGAAAATAATTTGTCTAATATTTATTATTAACCTATTAAAATATATTTTTAATAACATTTTAGAACTTTACTATAAGTATTATAAATTACTTCGAACACGTAAAAATTTTTATTCGAAAAAAAAGCTATAATATTTATATATTTCTGTCGTTTTCCCAAAAGTTCAGATGTTTATATCTGTAAATTTTTAGGAGAGCAAAAACAAAGTTTACATTTAATTGACATATTATAAAAATTGACATTTTTAATGTGATAAAAAAACAACTCTCTCCGTAAAAATTTAATTGTAAAATTCTGACACAAGATGGATTACTTTCTACTTATAATAAAAAATCTCAAAAACTCATTTTTATAATATACGTTTTTGGATATAATCCATAGATTTTAAAATAAATTTTATCGATTAAATCAAATAATTAAAACAAATATTTTACTAAAAAATAATAATAGAAATGAAAAATATAAGATATAACAGTTAGCTAAATATTATTTGACGTTTTCTACATAACTATTGATCTTAGTAATTTAAGTTACTACCCAAGCTTAATGTTGATTGATAAATATTGATTAAAATTCTATTTTAGTCTTGAAGTATATTCAAAAATAAATTTGAAATATCGATAAAAGTATAATAAGTCTCCTATTAATGTATAAATACTGCTTACAACTTTCTATGATGATTTCAGAAATCAAAATTATTCATTATATCATAAATGTTCTGATTTTAATCAAATTAATTCGTTCATTTAAAATTTGATTGGAAAACCTCAATATGACTAAAAAATGTTTTTTATAAGCAATTTCAGAAATTAAACACGAATAATCCTATTTTTGTTTAAGATCCACATAGCAATGAAATATTTCTAGAATATTTGGAAATATTCTTACATTGTTTTCAGAATATACTTTAACAGCGAATATTACATTCTCATAATATTTTTAAGGTATATTTCTAAAATATTATAAAAAAAATTAAATTTTCAAAGTCATTTTTCTCGTTTAAAAAAGTTCAAAGTAAATGTAACATTATATTAAATTTAGATTAAATTCGTAAAATTTTTTTAAAAATTGGCGATCTCATCACTGTGATCTCTCCTCGTAAGTTAGAAATTGACATATATTGTTGGTAATATAAAAATATATTTTAACTATAACAAAAAAAATTTTAAAAATTTTAAGTTTCACGAAACAATAATAAAATATAATCGTGCTGATAAAACTTAAAAAAAAATTAACTCTATTGGCCTGTAAATAATAGCAACAAGGGTTTTTTTACTGTCCCTGACTTACCTAGCTTAATTGAATTAGGTTAATTAAAATTGATACTAATTAGAGAAAACGGCTGTTTACTTATTAAGGATTAAGGATTATGTATATATAATACATAAGTATTATATAATTAGATACCAATAACATTTAAGTGTATAACTAAAGGGAAGCAAGGGGATGGCTTGCCTCTCTTAAGTTACCTCAGTTGGCCAACAAGATATATATTTAAAAAATATTGATAATATATTCCACAAATATTTCGAGTTAAATATTCTATATTTATTTTAATTAATATATTTTCATAATATTTATAAGTAAATATTTAAAAAGATATTTTTTAAGCACACGGTAGAAATATTTTTTAGTGTAATATTCTGTATTTATTCTCTTTAATATATTCTCAAAATATACATAAACAAATATTTAAAAAATTATTTTGTGATCATATTATGGAAATATTTCAATAGAATATATTTATTATTTTAATTATGAGATTTTGTTATAATATTTGCTTCAAAATATTTTAAAAAGTATTTTGTAAGAATATTTTGACAATATTAATGTATCGAAATTGCTATCTGGGCGAAGTTTCAATAAATGTTATATAAGTGTATATGATGCTTTCACATTAGTTGTGTTTATTAGATTATACTTTTCGGTTTATTACCCGAAAAATAGTATGACATAATATTTTATAGACTAGTATTATATGATGTTTGAAGTTAGATAATTGAAATAAAATAAAAGTAAAACACTAAGTAGAATTCAATGTAAGTATTATTACTCACCAACATTAGCTTTTCGTATTCTTCTTCAATAAGCACTCCATTGAAAAACTTGTTTCCGGTGTTTCCGATGTATTTCGGTACTGGAAAGTAGTATCCAACACGACATACGCATTTATAACTTCCTCTACGAAAACCTAATCCTGATACGGCCACACACTAAAAGATAAAAGATTTCCTCTTTTAAAAATTATACTGGGATTATATTTTTACATTTATAAATTTATGTTTGAATAAAATTTACATACATGTAAACACGTATATTTTGTTTTTGATTTTTAAAGCTTAATCATTTACAATATTATAAAAAAATAATAAGAAAGAACTATCATTTTTTAAACTAATAACTATTGAATTCAATGAAACAAATTAATTTATTCAATATACAATATGGAAACAAAATTTTAGTTTGTGACAATGGTATAAAATATTAAATGAAAAGTGCTTTTAGCGTTGACATGGGAAAGGTACATAGTCCAAGAAAGTTAAATGTCCCGTTTTCGAGGAAAATGTAATAAATACAAATCTTAAATAACCATTGAAAAAACTAAACAAAATTTTGGAATATAACAGGATTTACGTTCAAAACAAAATTAACTTTGTTGTAAGTCCACTTTGTTTATATACTCGATTTTTTTCTTCTCCTGGCAAACTTAGTTTTGTGACTTAGTACCTTTTCCATTTTTTCGCTTTAATTGATTCCAAAGAGAATTATTTTACTTTATGAAAATAATTACCTGTATACTTTAATATAAATATTCAAATTAATCAAAGATTACTTTATAGAAATAACTGACAACATAATTATTGAAACACTGATTCATAACTATTTTCAAAAAGTAGTAGAAGTACCTACATGCTACTAAAAGCATTGCATTAGTTTTGATTAACTTATTATAGTATACATTAAAAATAGGAATACATATAATCCTGAAGGAATTCCATAGACACGTAACTGACAAAATACGCGAATAATGTTACTAACCATATGAAATGCATTAACTAATTAAAACTGTAAAAAAAAACTTTTAAATAATATTAGAAATTCCATAACTTAATATATCATTATTTTAAGTTAATTTTAATTGATTATTTTGAAATTGATTTTTTTGTTTATTTTAAATATTTGGTTGTCTAAAAAAAAATGCATTAAAATATCATTGTTGTCAATGCAATACTATGTATCTTCAAAAAAACCAAAATTGAGATTTATATATCAAAATTTCCAGAAATGAAAAATGCTTTATGATGAGGTAAACACTATACGTGATATTTATAATCCAAAGAGATTACAGGCATTGAAGGTTGTGTATGTCACGTATATGTATTATCATAAGTTTTATAGTAAGATTTTTATATCTCCTGAAAAATGGACTTTTTGGTGGTATGGGATATTACATAAACAACAACGATGTGTACAAATATCCCAAATTGTGTTAATTTCATCATTTTAATATTAAAATTAATCTATCACGTAACATGATATAAGCAATGACAGACCTTTATTACGTGTTGAATTTATTGAGGATAACAGGTTGGATTAATTAAAAGAGAAAAAAATACGTCACTGTATATACATTTGTACTTAGGAGAACAGTTTCAGTTAACTGTAGCGTTATACAGGGTGTTCAGTAAGTCAGGAAACGGGTTTCTATTGTTCTCATTGTTTGTAACAATGAGAACAATAGAAACCCGTTTCCTGACTTACTGAACACCCTGTATATGGCATTTATACATTTTGATCATACTGAATTTAAATTTTAAGCAACAATTAAATTAATGAGAATGCTAATTTTTTTTTTTTTTTATTACTTAGAGTGTATGTTTTTTGTTTTAAAAGAAAAATTTAATTCAAGTTAAAGTGAAAAAATTAATATTATTGTTCTAAATATATAAAACCTTTTTAATGGTTTTTTTAGATCAAGAAATATGTTATATCCATTATTTAAAAATGTTATTTTAATAATCTATATATTTTTCTTTAAAAAAATTATTTACAGGATTGTAAATAATTGAAGAGTGGAAATATGTAACTTTCAAACAGCTTAATAAGTGAAAAAATATTATTACTAATAAATTATTTATGCAGTCATAATTTCAATTATGTACATATTTGAATAATAAAATAAAAAAGGAATTTCTAGATCTAATATTATTTTCTAGATGACTTACGCATTTATATGAAAAATAATAATTTTATAATTAAAATATTTTTGTTTGTTTGTTTAAAATATTTATATTTAGTTTGTCATAGTTATTTTAAATAATAATATGTATAAACTGGATTTTTTTTATTTTGGTACATAAAATATTTGACACTTTCACTCTTCAACTGAAAAATACATATTTATTTAACGTTCAAAATCATAGCATAATGTCTTTAATTTAATGAAAAAAAATAATAATACTAATATATATATATATATATATTGTATATAACTATTGTATAAACTAAAATATTTTTATTAAAATTGTACAACACAATATAGAAGGACGTGACTCAAAATTGTCATTAAAGAAGTTTCATTATTAGGTATAAAAAAAATTACAAATATAATGATATTTTAATTCTTATTTATTAATTAAGAATTTCATAAAATTCCAATTCAGAATTTTTTTTAAGGAAATAATATTAGTAATATTAATATTAATAATGAAAATTGAACTTTAAAATATTAAAATAAACACTTACGTATGTCGTTCTTTTTTTACATTTATCTGATGATGCAAAAATGTTAAAATGATTACTATTTGGTGGCAAAGGGCATTGATCAATGTCTACTCTCCTCAAATCAATGTCTATTCCACTTGTGCCTCTGTAAAATATAATAAAATGTATATTAATTTAAAAATAACAATCAACTTATAATTTTACCTTAAAACTATAAAATTTCATTTGTTTAATTTTTTATTGAAACAAAAAGTATTTTCTTTGAATGAAAGGTTTTAGAAATTATTATTTTATTACATAATGAAAAACTCGACAAATAAGTATTTGTTATTGAATAATGAATGTAATTTAATGAAAGATATATATATATATATATATCTCTTATTTACAAAAATGTTTCATTCATTTTTGTACAATTTTAAATAATTAGCTAGAATTATTTGTTTTTGTGTTCGGAAAAATCAATTACATTTATAAACGCGTATATAATTTTTATTTATTTAAAAGTATTAAAAATAAGAATCAGTTAGTTGTAAATAGTTCAGTGTCTTCGATAATTGACACTGGTCAAACATAGATCTTAATATAAAACAAAGTTGGGTATTAAAAAAATTAGATTAAATACAATCGATTTAAAAGCCTTAAATGACTCAGAAAATCTTGTTGCAATAATATTAAGGAATAATCACTTGGAGTTTTAATTACACACTTTATGAATTACAGTACGTTAAATTATCTTAATGTATTTATTTTTCTCAAATTCCTCTAAATTTATTTTTATTTTTTAGTTTCAAAGCTAATGAAGTACTCATTTGGTAGTATTTTTTTATGAAAATTACCTTTTATCTTTGATTAATAACAATTTTTAGATATTCTTCACAAGAGAATTTTTGACTAGTATAAAAATTGTAAAATATAAATACAACTGAATTTGAAATGGAACTATGCATAAATCGTATGCATACACTGTTGAATCCTAATTGGATGCCAAATAAATCACCCAAGGTAAAAATCGTGACAGCAATATTAAAAATAATTATAATAACAAAGCAAACAGTTGATTAATATGATGAGATCCAAGGAAAAATGCATTATCTCTTTTATAAAAACATCATGTTGGTTGTAAAAATAAAAACTTTTATTATTCACATAATTCGATTTCTAAAATATTTTTAAGAAACATTAAAAATTAAAATAAAATATAATAAATACAATAAGATAAGATTACATAAAATGTTTTTTGTCGCTTTTTGAATATGTAGCTATTATAATTGCTTTTCAAATATTAACATTTTTACACATTAAAATAAAAAGTGCACAAAAGTTCATACTTAGAACTTGACACATGATATGTTTACAATTGTTGTTCTAAAAGTAAGTGAACATTATTCCAAATTTTTTTATTCAATAGTCACTAAAACTATGTTTGAATTGTAATTGGATCGTTACAAAATGAAATATCAAGTTTTTAGAAATTTTTCGCTTTTAAAGTAATATTTTTATAATTAAAAGTTGTCTTATTAAAAATTTCAAAAAAATTATTTTAGTGGTATTTTTAGAGAAATTATAAGTGAAATTATTAATATATAATTACATGAAAAAATTATTTTTATAATAATTTTTTTTTTGGTTTGCAATTGATATTTAATTATTTAGTATTGTTTATTAATACAAACGAATAAAAAAAAACAAAAAGTTCGGTTATTCTGACCTGTGTAAGTTATTTATAATTATAGTTATGAAGTTAAGTTATAATTAATCATAATATATTGGAAATTAGACTTTTTTTTCGCAATTTTTATGCAAAAGTTGCTATTTTTAATTTTTTCCATGGAAAAAAGTATAGTTGAAATAACCGTTTATATGGTTATCCTACCTGAAACTTAGGTTTAGCATTGTGCCAGTCTATCAGTTTGGTTGAAACTACTATGCTGGTTAGGATGATACATATAATATTTATACGATATGTTTACTGCACCTTACATTATGTTTGCAACAGTTATACAACATGATTATTGTATCTTTACATTTTGGTTACTCTAACTATAGATCACGGTTACTGTAAATGTACATTATGGTTACCATATGCATCTTTGTAGTAAGAATAACAGTTTTATATTGTAGTCATCACCCATCTAGGTATTTCCATGTGTGTTCAGTTAATTAATCGATTATTAAGGGTTCTTAATTAATAATAAGAATAGTATAAATTTACTATAGTGTTCAATTATATTTTAAATGTCAAAACCAATACAAATAAATATAATATTTTTTTACATTTTAACCATTTTATAAAATAATAAAATAATTTAACTAAAAAAATGATTATTAACTTATAAAACGCCGTTATTAACTTTTAAACTAGCATTTTACAAGTTATTAAAACTTAAATATTGAGTCTGTGGGGTGTATTTAGTTTTGTTTTTAGCCATTAAGAACAGCCTACTCTTCACGCCTAGTATAAAAATGCTAATATCTTATTAAATACCAGTATAAATGTTGTTATCGACCAGTCATATTTTCATTTAAACCATTATCTTATATGTAAACTGGTTAATAATTTATAATTTTATTTAAAATACCAAAGTTGGGAAAATTTTAAGGGGGTAGGCAGGGAGATAAGACCAAATTATTTTTGAAAAATCATAGAACACATGACACTAATAATTTTTAAAAAGAAAAAATTAAATAAAAAAATAATAGCATAATATATTATAATTATACTTTTAAAAATTATGTTTTCTTAAAAAAAAAAAGAATTTAATAAGTATTTGAAATTTTACAGAAAATTGAGCAGTAGTTATCCAATCATTAACATTTATAAATAAGAATTTTAAACCGAATTTAAATCATTGAGCCTTTTAGACAATAATTTGAAAAAGTAATAGAACTGAGAGCAAGAATTTATGCCCAATATCCATTCCTACTTTTATTTTATTTTTTGATGTCATATATTTTATGTCCTTAGTAGGCAACTAATACTTTAAACCTAGAAAAAATTTATTTTTCAATACACAATAAAAATGCGAGAGAAAAATTTTTTTATATGCTTAAGCTAGAAAACTGATTTATTTTTTTATACGATGCATTTATCGCTTAACAATGATGTATTACTAAAATTAGATGTTACGATATACAAATGTGTTTCATTAATTAGTTTAATTATTAGAGATTTTAATTGGTTTACTGTAAACAATTATACAAGTATAGAACATTTAATTCAGTTTGATTATTTAATAGATTTCAAAGATTATTAATAGGAGAAAAAAAGTGTATTGTGTTTTTCTGACTACAATTATTATTTACAACTGATATAAAATGATAAATTTATTTTATTTTCAGATTTTATGGACAAGTAAAATTGTTTAACTATCTGTCGGTTTTCTGTGTATTTTTTATTGAGAGATTACTACACAATAAATATTTTATGATTTATATTAAATCGTTCTTTGTTTAGCAATTATCACATGAAATAACATTTTTATTTAATTTCAGCAAACAAGTTTATATTGGTGCATTAAGTAAGGAAAATCATAATGGAGTTTAATGACACAATGAAAAATAGAGTCTTTAAATTTAAGAGAATATAACCAAAAGGGGCGTTTAATTGCAAACTAAATTAAGAAAGAGGAGTCCTTCCACTTTACTTCTTACTTTAACCGCTATTTATATTGTAACATAATTTATATTTCACTTACGATGCTCGTGTAGTAAAAGTAATAGATCGAACAGAAAATGTTTTGATATTAATTTTCTGTCAAAATAAATTACTATGTAATATTGTCTTAAGTTATAAAATAAATTACAAATATAAAAATTAGATATTTACACCTGGGGTATTAATTGGTACTACTTAAAGCGTAGTAACTAATAATTTATACACTAAATGTAAAGTGTTCTTATGTTTGACAAATACTGGCTTATACTAATAAAGAGAATTTCATCATACATTATTTTCATTTATATTTATATATTCAAATAATGTCATTATTATTACTTGATATGACTTTCCCTCATGATCATATTTCATGTATATAAGGAGCACGAGGAAATGATGTGCACGGAGTAATTATCTGTTTATATATCGTTAACTAGTGATTATAAGGCTTTGGTTATGAAAAACAAAAACGATCATTTAACCAGTTAATAATGTGTACAAAATTTGATAACACTTTTATCGTTATTTTATTGTTAACAAATAAAAAATTAAAAACAGAAGTTGAAAGTTAGTGATATAAATTTTTTTTTTAATCTCTAAACCTTCGCTAGAACTTCCACTCTGAATCTTACTCATGGCTAGTCTCATTGCAGTTTTCTAGAACTTACCTTTCAACCTCTTTTTCAATCGAAATCTAAAAAATGCTTATTCGTCTATTTCACTATGTAATGTCACTATTCAAATTGGAAGCTCATTACGAAGTTATTTAAAATCTATGTTTATTTTGGAGTCACATTAACATTTTTGTAACTTCACTTAATGCATTCACATAAACTTCTTAGGTGAAAAACTACATAGCCTAATGATTGTAATTTGTTTGTTTTTAGGTCTTCATGAAACTACATTACTATGTAACACAACTATAAAAATGTGATGTTATTTTAAAAATAAAATTAGGCATCACATCGATTTCAAAATTATATTTATATACGCAGGGTACTTGAAAGCTCCTACGATTATTTGTCTCATTATATATGTTTGTTTAAACCAATTTTTGATAGTTTTAAATTTAAAAAAAATCAGTAAACAACTTTACTCCACATATTTAATAATAATGTATATTTTTTGTTGGGGGTTTATTTAATGAAATTATTAACACCGCACTTAATGTTGCTAATAAATAAAGACGACTTTATTGATTGAGCTTACATTATTTCGTTTGGTTATACTAACATGCATTAGAAACTATATGGACTGGTGTAAACCAGTACTCCAATTACTAATTCACATTGCAGTATACGATTATACAGATAGTTGATATGTACAATATCGTAAAGATTACAACTACGCAATACAAAAATTTAAAAAAATTCACGTGTAATTAATTTAAAACAACATTCTAATGTAAACTTGAGCGTGAAATTTGAAAAACATTATTTTTTTACGTTATTACAATGTTGTTATTTATTGTTATAGTCATTTGAAAA